TGGCCAATCTGTGGCACTCCCCATTGACAATGACCTGGACATGTATGAGACTTCTCAGGCACATGGCAGCCTGCACATATGTTGTTCGGCATGCCAGGTTGAAACTCAGACTGCGTCAGGCGTGGCTGGCGGGGTCATTCAGCCAGACCAGGGTGTAGTGGGACTGGATCCTGGCTGTACCCCAGGATGTTGTGGCCTCACTAGACTGGTGGACGTTGGAGAGCGAGGTTTGTGCGGAGTCCCCTTCCGCACGGAACTGCCGTCGGCTCAGTTAGTTAACGACGCCTCTAATGACGGTTGGCGAGTGCACTTGCTCACGCACCAGACGCAAGGGCTGTGGGACCCCCGGGAGAGGTTACTTCATATAAATGTGTGGGAGCTGAGGGTGGTCAGGAGAACCTGCGAGTTCTTCCTGGGCCTACTCTTGGGGACCCTAGTCTCGGTGCTGATGGACGACACAGCTGTGGTGTTTTATATAAACAAGCAGGGAGGTGCTCACTCATCCCACCCTCCTTTAGGAGTTTTGCATAGCGCACAACATCTGCTTGCAAGTGGCTTACTTGCCGGGGTGCGCAAATACACTGGCAGACTCACTGAGCAGGTCCTTCAGAGTCCATGAGTGGTCCCTGAAGGATGAGGTGGTGGCCCAACTTTTCCATCAGTGGGGCTGTCCCCAGGTGGATCTGTTTGCTACCGAAGGGAACAGGAAGTGCCCACAGTACTTCTCCCTCCTGGGCTTGGGTGTGGGCTTGAAGGGAGATGCCCTAACCTCGCCGTGGCCTCAGGGGACACTGTACGCATTCCCTACATTCCCCCTGGTTTCTCAGGTGCTCACCAGGATCAAGTTGTTCAGGTCGTGAGTAATTCTGGTAGCCCCAGACTGGCTCGGGCAATTCTGGTATCCCATTCTGCAGGAAATGGTGAGGGACAGGCTGCTTCGCCTGCCACCGACCCGGGACCTGATCACAGAGGCTAGGGAAGGGGGTATCCTGTACCAACTGGATGTCCAGCCCCTCCACCTGACAGCTTGGCTTGTCCATGGCTGAAGCCTGCCGAAAGGGCGTGCTCGCAGGGGGGTGCAGGAGGTTCTCCTGGGCAGCAGAAAACCAACTACCAGGCGGGCCTACGTGGCTAAGTGGAAATGCTTCTCGGTTTGGGCTCCGGAGAAGGAGGTTTGTCCCTCACGGGCCCCTGTTCCTATGGTCCTGGACTATTTGTTTGGTTTGTGCCGGGCGGAGCTGTCCACCCCCTCGATTCGGGTGCATCTGGATGGCTTTAACAGCCTTCCACAATGGCTCTGAGGGCAGCTTGTTATTCACAGACCCCCCTGGTTAAGCTGTTCCTTAAGCTTAACCAAAGGTTTAGAAAAGTTGTTTCCCCATGTCAGGGCCCCTGTTCCTCAGTGGGACCTGAGCAGTAGCCTTCCTGTCTCAGCAATCTATCTATTGACTTTGATCTTTATCTGCTTAGGTTTAAGTACCCATTTTCCAGATACTTAATGATGCCTTGTTTCCCCCCCGCCTTCCTCTTTCCTTTCTCTTCCCTTCTATTTATTTCCAGTTTTCATATCACCTACTCATAACTGATCATCTGAAGAAGTGGGTTGTACCCACGAAAGCTCATGATACCATCTACGTGTTTTGTTAGTCTATAAAGTGCCATCAGACCATCAGTTCTTAGGTGTCTGAAATTGGGCACCCAAAGTTAATGGACACTTATGACTTTAATTTCTCTATGCCTCAGTTCCTATTGATAAAATTGGAATAAATTGCCAAACTTGTGAAAGCCTTACACTCAACTTGATAGTCTGAAGTGTGATAATTTGTGAATGTCACGTCTAATCCAAAGTTGCAGGGAATGTTCTAGGCATCAGCAGACAGAAACCTGTTCATTCTGGAGAAATTAAAAAAAATGGAGACAAATGGAGGCCCTACTATCAGGTTAGCACAACCACAGCTTCAAGCAGCTCTCTAGTTGTCAGGAGATGAAATAACTGGTTGATGGCTCCCATTAGAGTCTTTGAGGGTATCTGTGAAGAACTCTGGTATGAGAATACGAATCAGTGGGGGATGTTCAGAACCCAAATCAAGGAGGAGGTTGCAGGAAGTGTCAGAGAGTCTTTGACACAGAGGGAGATAGAAGGGTAGCACACAGTCAGCTTTGTGGGGTGAAAAAGAGCCTCACATGTGTAATAAACTCTGCCCACAAAAACTGCCAAGTATACAAGTGAAATCCTGTAATACGTCCCCTCCCATCTCACAGGAGTGTTGTGAAAATAAAGTAATGTTTGTGAAGCAGTCAGATGTTGTAGTGCTTAGCTGTAGAAAAGCCCACAAGGAAATATTGAATACCTGCTCAGTTGGGGTACGTCTACACAACAGCGTTATTTCGGAATAACTCATGTTATTCCGAAATAACAAAGAGCATGTCTATACTACAATTCTTTATTCTGAAATAATGCTGAGCTGGGGGACTTCTTACTCTGGCTACATCTAGACTGCACTGTTAAATCAGAAAAAGATACCACAAATTGCGTATCTTTTTTTGATATACTTTTGAAAGAGGCTCTTTCAAAATTTGGCACGTCTACATGGCACCAAATTGCAAAAGAAAGTGCTCTTTAGAGCTGTCCCTTATTCCTTGTAGAATGAGGTTTACAGCACGGTGAAAGAGCGCATCTGTTCTTTCGAAAAAAAATTCGAAAAAGTGGACATGTTCTTTGGATGTGGCGTTGCTATTTGGAGAAGGTTCAGAGAAGAGCAACAAGAATGATTAAAGGTCTAGAGAACATGACCTATGAAGAAAAACTGAAAGACTTGGGCTTGTTTAGTTTGGAAAAGAGAAGACTGAGAGGGGACATGAGAGCAGTTTTCAGGTATCTAAAAGGGTGTCACAAGAAGGAGGGAGAAAAATTGTTCACTTTGGCCTGTGAGGATAGCACAAGAAGCAATGGGCTTAAACTGAAGCAAGGGAGGTTTAGGTTGGACATCAGGATAAACTTTGTAAGTATCAGGGTGGTTAAACACTGGAATAAATTGCCTAGGAAGATTGTGGAATCTCCATCTCTGGAGATATTTAAGAGCAGGTTATATAGACATCTATCAGGGATGGTCTAGACCCGTGGTCACCAACAGGTCAATCGCGATCGACTGGTCGATCGCGAGGCCTTGACCAGTCGATCGCGAGGCGTCCTGTCTGCCCTGTCCCCATTTCCCTCCCACCCGCAAAAAGCCCCACTATCTACCTCAAGTGAAAATGGAGGGAGTGTTGGCTTTCCGGGGATGAATAGCTTAGTGCCATTTCCGGCGATTCCGGAAGTGCGCTAGCTGCTCTGCCGGGTGTACTGCGGGAGGGAGCATCGGCTCCCTGCACCTCACAGGAGGGGTGAGTCAGCCCCGGGGGAGGCGCACGTGGGGGGTTGGAGGGAATCCTGGGTGGAGGCAGATGCAGGGGACTCTCTGCCTCCACTGGCACCCCACTCCGTGCTCCCCAGCCCCCACTTCCCATCTACAGAACGCTGTCCCCATCTACAGAATGCTGTCCCCACTCCTCAAATGCTGTCCCCACTCCCCTGTCCCCAGCCACAAAACTCTGTCCCCATTCCTGTCCCCAGGGTCGGATATAGGGCAGGGTGAGCAGGGCGGCCTCCCCGGGCCCCGCGCTTCAAGAAACCCTGTGCATGGACCATGGCAAAGGGGGCCCCATGAAATTGTGCTGCCCTGGGCCCTGCAAAATGGGCATCTGCCCCTGCCTGTCCCCGCTCCCCGAACTCTGTCCCCACTCCCCTGTCTCCAGCCACAGAACTCTGTCCTTATTCCATCCCCACTCCCCGAACTCTGTCTCCACTGGCACCCTGTCCCCAGCTGCAGAAACCTGTTCCCACTGGCACTCTGTCCCCTGATGCAGAACCCTGTCCTCTGCCCTCCCAGCACCCTGTTCCCGCCCCCCTGCCCCCAGCCGCAGAACTCTGTCCCCACAAAATGTATAATTATAAATGCTTCATTTTAGATTTAAATAGCATGAATAAAAAACAGACCATTTATTTCATAACTAGAAACATGTGATTTTAATTTTATATATCGCATAATTTAAAAATAAACTGTTTATCAGAGTGTGTAAATAAGGGCTGGGGATAGCAAGTGATGGACAGGAGGAGAATAGAGAGGGCGGAACTTCAAGGAGAGGGCGGGGCTTCAAGGAAACGGGGGCGGTAGATCTTCGCCTGTTCTGAGATTTAAAAAGTGATCTTGGGTGTAAAAAGGTTGGAGACTACTGGTCTAGACTGTACTGGGTCCTGCCATGATGACCTCTCAAGGTCCCTTCCAGTTCTAGTGTTCTATGATTCTATTTCAGTAAACCTTCGGTATCCCGAAAAAGCAGTGCAGTCTAGATATAGCCTCTGACTCCTGTAACCCTCATTTCACGAGGAGTAAGGGAAGTTGAAGTAAATGTGTTCCTCCTTCAACTTCCTGCTGCGTAGACAGTGCCTAAAACGGAATTAAACTATTTCGACTTAAGCTACACAGTTGACTTAGATGAAGTTGCTTAGTTTATTCCAGCTTTAGCCCTGCTGTGTAGACGTACACCGGGTGAGCACCATCCATCCTGATCCTGTGGAAAAAATAGTATGTTATCATGTAAGTCAAGACTTATGTCTCATGTAAGTCATAAGACCTATGCACAATGGGTTCAGCAACTTTGAGTGTTTGAACTTTGCAACTTTAATGCTTCTTTAGCATGGTTTTGTGTGAGTAATATTCACATTTATTAAAGAAACAACAATTTATGTGTGCTAATTTTCCTAGCTTACAGATCATGGGAGATAAATATACAGTTTCTTTTATGAGAGACATAGCTCCTCTCACAAAATCTGTCCGGGACTGGGAGTCTGGCCTACTTCTAGCCCTCGGTAGATGACTCCTTAATGCTCAAAACTTCTGCAGATTTTAAAACAATATATTTATCTATATTGTATTATTGTTACATGATCTTTTTTAAAGGCAAAAAATGTGACTTGTTTGAAGACGCTTCTGGCCTTGACAGTTCAGATGACATTCATGATATAATGGTAGGATTATATTTTTAGAAATATGTGTAGTACAAGTTTCAATTCTTTGTCTCATTTGATTCACTTCCTTTTACTCTCCAGCCATGGCAGGGGAGGGGGCGGGGAGCAAATTCTCCTAGGATTCAATGGAATTACATAAGGCAAAAGTTTGCTTGTTGGATAGTGGAGGGAAATGCCAGCTAAAGCGCACTCACAGTAGGAAGAATTTGTCCCAGTGTCAGCATGGGATGTATTTTGTGGTCCAGCAGATTGGTCCACAGTGTCCACCAAATATACATTCAGCCCCTACTGAATTACTTTATATTATACATCAAATAAATTGTGCATCGGGCCAGTCTATTAATTGATGACTGCAGATTTGATTATGCCACTCAGGGAAGTTGTTTGACTGATTTATCCATTAATCATTTAACTTGTATTTATATACCACACACACAACAATACTTATTGAATGTACTAAATCCTATAGCATATCCATTGAAAGAACTGGAAACTGTTCATTTGACTGAAGTAGAAGATGGCCCCTGGAGGCTTATGAAAGAATCTTAAACTTGCCAGGGTATTATTTACCATCTAGTTTAGTCACTTACCACTCACTGAAATTATACAGCCAACATTTCATTAAATTTATCCTACTCCAGAAGAAAGCACATATATTATGGGTTATGTGGTTATATATTACATATGAGTGGGTTTACCAAGTTATTTTGGCTATTGATTTTATTGCATTATCAATGATCATGTAGTGCTGAAAGATATGCATGGCTGTCTGAACAGCAGCTCACATGTGTCTTTGTGTATATAGATACTCAAGATAGTAGGATGCTATCCCTGCAAACAAATGAGCAGACTTGAAAATCACCCCACAAGCCAGTCACCCAATTAAAAAAATGGGGCTTGAGGCGCTTACATGAGGGCCTCCAAAGCAATTGAAATTTTTACTATTTTCTTTGGGACTTAAGAGTTTCTCTAAACTTTATACATATGTATGCTTTTGAGAAATGTATAGTTTTGGAGCCTTAAAATTCCACTATCCTGCAGGAAGAAGAGCATGTATGCATATTCACATCAACAAGCTCTCATTTGTTATTCAGAGGAAATGCTCTAAGGAGCAGGTAGAATTAAAAGGCTCTGGATTACACATGTTCTCCCAACTAAGTTATCACATCTGTGCCAGTGCATAACTTCCTGTGCCTGCAAAATTAAATCATTAGCATAACTTTGAAATATAACAGAAAATGAGCAGTTGATATTGAATATATTAATAAATGTTTTGTTGGTCTTAAATCTTGGAATGATAATATAGGGTTTTTTTTCCGCTAGTCTCGATTGGTAAGAAATGAAGAGACATCCTTTTTTTGGACTATAAAAAAGGATGCCATTAATTACCATAACCTACATTGTGATCAGATGCTGAATCATTATGCAAAAACAGGCTCCTTTACAACAAAAGTAAGTAAATAATTAAAATCACTTGGCCCTTGCTGTTATTCCCAGGATACACATGGGGAACTATTGGTATTAGGTTTCATGAACAGATTATAGAAAGTGGAGTGTTAGTGGTTTTTTTATTTATTTCTGGAATAAATATGATCAACTAATATTAATTAATATAGGAAATCAAATCTAACAAGTTTATATTTATGGGACAGTAATTGTCCCAGGTTATGCAGAATGAATTTGATTTTTATTGATATATAACCACAGGAGCATGGCAGATTTTTAGAAATTCTAAAAGGAACAACATCCACATTCTCAGTCTTTAATATGTGAGTCCCCAACACTGCAATCAGATCCACATATGTGGGCTCTTGCACCCATGTGGAAACCTGTTAATTTCATTGTGTTCTATGTGGCATGCAAGGGTCTGCCTGTGTGTATTCTATTGCAAAGCCTGAGTGAGCAGCATGGCTTGTGTGTTTGCTAAGGTACATTCTATGATAGTGAGGGTTTCAACTGTGGATTGATTTTTGTAGTGGTGGTAAGGAAGACTGAGAGAAAGTTAATTTTAAAGTATTATTTGTTTTTGTGATCTTATATCAAAGGTACTTAGGTGTATATGTGTTTTATTAATATTTTTAACGTCTAAATAGACTGTTGTGTGATAATTAATGTAATGATTTCTCAACTCTGTTTAAATTAATGAATGAAATCTCAGTGAAAAGCTTTACTATTCTTCAAGTACTTGCCCATGTCCATTCCTTACTAGGTATAGGCACACAATGTGCACAGCTGCTGGAGATATTTCCCTTTATAGTATCCATTGAGCAAGCTTCAGTGCCTTCTGGAGTCATATCCGTATGCACTGGTATAAAGGATGCCCTAGCCCTGCACCCTCTCACTTCCTTCTTACTGCCCATGCCAGTTGCTGGAATTAATCTTTTTGTTGTAGCAAGACTTCTTTCCTAGTGATTTGGACTTTTTTCTGTTCGTATTTTGTATACAAGTATCAGAAAGGTAGCCGTGTTACTCTGAATCTGCAAAAACAACGAGAAGTCCTGTGACACTTTATAGACTAACAGATTTAATGGAGCATAAACTTTCGTAGGCAAAGTACCCACTTCGTCAGATGCATGGCATGGCATGCATCTGACGAAGTGGGTCTTTGCCTACGAAAGCTTATGTTCCAATAAATCTATTAGTCTATAAGGTGCCACTGGACTTCTCATTATATTTTTCATAGTTATTGTAGTCTACTATATATTTTAGAGAGTTTGTGACTTTACAAGAACATGACAGGTTACCTCACCTATACTTCATCTCTTTGGACCTGATGACATGGTTGCTGTGTGATTGAATCCTGAAGAGCAGGCTTGCTTGGTCAGGTTCGACACATCTTGCTAGGTTGCAGAGACTCTTCCACCAAGGCTACCTACCTGGCTAAGTGGAAACTTTTCACATGTTGGGCCTCCAAACAGAATCTATCTCTATCTGATTTTCTCTGCAGTTCATCTTAAACTGTCTGCTCCACCTAAAGATTCATGGTCTAGCTCTCTTGTCTGGTATATTTATTTGGAAGCCATCAGTGAATGGCAGATTAATGTTCTTCCATGCGATAACAGTCAGGTTTCTCAAGGAGCTCGAAAGACTCTACTCTCAGGTTTGCAAACTGATACCCCAAGGGGACTTAAACCTAGTCCTATCAAAGCACACAGGGCTTCCTTTTGAACTGTTAACACCATGTTCCTTACTGCTTCTTTCTTGGTAATCATCTCTGCCAGAAGGGTCTCTGAGATCAAACACCTTATGTCAGAATCCCTTTACATAGTGTCCTTTAAAGAGAAGATTCTTCCTATCAAAAATTGTGTTGCAATTCCACAACAACAAAGATATGTTTCTACTTGTTGTCTTCCCAAAACATCACAAAACTGCTGAGGAATGTTGGCTTCATATGTTGGATGGTAGGCAGGCCTTTGTCTTTTATATTGAGAGAATTAAGCCCTTCTGTACAGTCCATTCAACTCTCTTTGTCTGTAGCGGAAAGGATGAGATCCATGTCATCCCAAAGAATCTTGGCTTGGATAGCTGGCTATTTATGGGTTTGTTATCAACAGGTGAAGGTTCCACCTTTAGCCATCATGGCCACTCATTCCTCAAGAGCCCAGGATTTGTCAGCAGTGTTCCTTGCTCAAGTACCAATCCGGAACATCTGCAGGTCTGCAATCTGGTTGCCAGTGAATACCTTCGCATCCCACTCTGTCATCATCCAATGGGCTTCAGACAATGCTTGTTGCAGCAGAGCAGTGGTGTTGTCAATATGTCCATAAACTCAGAGCCCACCTCTGAAGGTGCTACTTTTGAGTCACCTAGCGTGGAATTGACATGAGCAAACACTCAAAGATGAAAAAATGGTTACTAACCTTTCCTGACTGTTGTTCTTGGAGATGTATTGTTCATGTCCATTCCACGAGCCACCCTTTTATCTCTGTGTTGGAGTTACTGGCAAGAAGGAAGTGAGAGAGTGTGGTACCAGTGAATATGCACATGACTCCAGAAAGTGCTAAAGCTGGCCCAATGGATACCACAGATGGAAAAATCTCAGGCAACAATGTATATGGCACACACATGCCTAGTGTGGCATGGACATGAGCAACACCTCTCAAAAAACAACAGTTAGGAAAGGTTAGTAACCATTTTTTCCTACCAATTTTGGTGTGTCCAGGAACTGAATACATGCAACAAGGTCTAAGGTCTTTTTTTGGGCTGGTTCCAGAATTCAAGGTCAAATTTACCATTACCTGTGTTGTACCTTAACAGTGATCTCCTAGTTGGTAACAACTGCACTGCCCAACAAAGATCTGTTCATTTGGCAATAGCAGGGAAAGAAAGAGGAGGCTAGATAGAGAGTGGTGGATTTCCAGGGCTGGCTATAATTTTTGAAGTCCTAACTTTCTTGGGGCCTGGTTATGTCTGTATATGTGGTTAACAAAGTTAAACATAATATTTAACTAGTTAACTGATTAAACAGAATTTTACATCCTTAGAATGGTATGTGATTATTGCTAATGTTAATTGCAATGCAGGATGGGCATCTGTTAATGGAATTGCATCCCTTTATTAACAAAAGGAATAAATACACACTTTTTAATGGAAGTCAAGACAATACTGTCTGTCCTTTCCATCAATGTATCAGGGAAAATGCCAAACCAGTTTCACACATCATCTACTCTGTTCCTTTATTCTCTTTAAGATTGGACTTTGTTTGAATCTGAGACATTTGCCATGGTATGTTCCAGCAAATCCAAATACTTTCTTCCCCCGTTGCTATGGTATTTGCATGGATGATGAGAAACATGCTTTTATAGGTAAGTCATCAAAGTAGTTTCAGTGTTCAGTCTCGAGTATTTTTCTACACTGAGAACTTGATATTGAAAGAAAGGGGTCTAAGTAGTGTGGCTTGGATCCAGCAAAGCACTTAAGCACACACTACTTTAGCCATGTCAGGATTCTCACTGAAGTCATTAGAACAACTTACATGCTTCAAGTTAAAACGTGTGTTTGAGTTTTGTTAGATCAGAGTCCATATAGAGCCAAATTTTTCCATTCAGATTACTCGCACTCAGGTCCCAAAGAACCTCACAGCTTGTCTGAGCTGTGGATGAATGAAATGTCCTTGAAGATATTTCATACATATTTTCAAACAAAGGGCTAGTGCAATGTACCAACTGATGAATGTGGACCTTGCTGGCTCACATTAAAAGTTCCTTATTGTGCATTAATGTGATATTGTCTGAGAAAGGATTACACTACGAAACTTCTAGTGCATTTCTAAAGTGTCCACACAAGCAAGTTAGTGTACAGCACCTTTGTAGTGCCAATTAAAGCAGTGTAGACAATCACCATGAACTAAAACTACTGTTACAAGTTACACTGGGATTAATTCAGTTATAGCAGGATTGTCTGATAATAAGAGGAACACAAGGATGTTTACATAATTTACTTCCTGAATTTTTCAGAAAGCTCAAGTACACTAATTATTCATTCTTCTATCAGATTGTAGCAAATAAGGCATAAAATTTGCATAGCTGAAGAGTTCTTCCTGGAAGCAATTTTTAAACCTTCCTGCTGTATGAAAGAAGAGAATTAATGAAATATTTTTTGTTGCTTTTTAAATTGAGCTTCTATTAATGAAGTTCAAACTGATTCATCATCTAAATTCTAGTAGAATTTTTTAAAGCCGAGCACCCCAGCCAGCTCCTTCTTGCCAGAGCAGTGCACCGGCACACGTCGGCTTACTTTCACCTGTGATTCCTTCCTAAGTGGGGTGTTTCATATTTGTCCTTACTGAATTTCATCCTGTTTGCTTCAGATCATTTCCCTGTTTGTCCAAATCACTTGAAATCTTAATCCTGTCCTCCAAATCACTTACAGTCCCTCTCAGTTTCGCATCATTCACAAACTTTATAAATGAACTCTCTATGCTATTATCTAAATCACTGAGGAAGATATTGAATACGTATGGACTCAGAAATGATCTTTGCAGAACCTCATTCAATATGTCCTTCCAACTTGATTGTGGGCCTCTGTTAGTTATTCTCTGGGAAGAGTTTTCCAAGTAGTTTTGTTCCCAATTTATAGTAGCTCCATCTAGGATGTATTTCCCTATTTTTTTAATGAGAAGGTCATTCAAGGCAGTATGAAAAGCCTTTCTGAAGTCTATCTGCTCACACCCTATTCACAAAGCTTGTTATTCTGTCAAAGAAAGTTGTTAGGTTGGTTTGACCTGATTTAGTTTTGACAAGTCTATGTGGACTGTTATTTATCAGATTCTAGGTGTTTGCAAAATGATTGCTTAATTATTTGCTCTACTATTTTTCCGAGTACTGAAGTTAAATTGACTGATCTGTAATTCTCTTTTCCCTTTTTTCTTTATTTCCCTTTTAATGGATTGGAATTCTGTAGGGGACCTAATACTGGATTACCACTAGTAGGTTTTCTGAAGCGATTACAGGGTTTTCTACTTTTTATAAAACAGTGATACATAGAATGGAAAATAGATAGTATTTAGTAGACTTAGTAATGTTTTTCATACAATTCTTATGGAACTCACTTTCTTTTAACAAATTTTTCCCTTAGTGTGCATTCTCTTTAGTGAAAAAGAATCTAAAATAATATGTTGTTTTGTTTTTAGAGGACTTCAGGAATACAGCAGCATGTAGCATACTCAAATGGGTCATCAGTCTTAATACCTGTGATAAAATAACACAGAAGTCTAAAGGAAAAGTTAATAAAGAAGATTTAGGCCAGAAGAAAGGTATTTCTTAAATATCAGTGTTAACATTACAAAATTATCAGTATCGAAAAAGGGCCAAAGGATATCTTGTTCATCTATAATCAATCAGTATATCGTTAGAAGACAAATATAGCTTTTTTAATATAACTACGGTGGTCACCATTGAAAAGCTAATTTTTAACAGTTACCCCACTGTTATCTGAGAGAGAATATTTATTGTTGACACTTGCGTATCTACAAGGAATAGGATCTGTCAAAAGACCATTTTAAGAAGGCCCTGATCTCTGTTGGAATCAAGCCATATACAAAAACTTTAAGCATATCAGAGTACAGGCAAATTTTATGTCCTAAAGCTTTTGTGTCCCTCAAAAGTAGCTTGTAACTTCCCCTTAATTTTTTATATATAGCTTAATCTCTCCAAAGTATATGCACTGAAAATAGGTTGCAATTAAGCAAAGTTACTAACAATGTCTTGTGCAGATACTTCTGTGGCTTGATCTTGCTCCAACTGATATTAGTGGTTTTTTTACCATTGACTTCAATGAGTTAGATTAGGTGTGATGGCTGGACATTCTGGGTTGAATAGACATGAAACAATGGAGTTATGCATATAAGCAGATGAACATGGTTACTGTACTAGGTATGGCCGTGTAACTTTCAAAATGGCAGTTGAGCCTGCTGCAAGGTGGCTGTGCACTTTGGGGGAAGTTAAATATTTGGGTACATTTTGGGAAAGGCCAGGAATTAGGTGCCAAACAAAGATTTTCACTGTAGCAGGGCTGGAGCTGAAAAGTCAGGCCATCCTAAGTATGTGTGAGTAGGCAGTGGCCTGGGTTGCTCCTTACAGCCATATCCATGCTGCAGAAGCTGTGTGGGGAACTACAAAAAACGCATACTGAAGAAATAAAGAGTGTTTAATCTCTGGAAACCAGATAAAGGTGTGGAAAGCTAAAGTTATGTTTAGCTATTAACAGTATGAGGAGATGGTATAGGCAGAACAAAAACATGAGAAAGCAAGACACAGTCTCAGCCAGTGTTCCCTCTAAGCTGAGGCAGCACCGCTTCACAGGTGATTAATCAGCCCCACCCAGTCAGAGGCTTAGGGCTCCAGGCAAGGAGCTGACTTACTGGCCAGGACTGATTAATCACTTTTGAAGCCGTGCGGCTGTGCAGCTTAGAGGAACACTGGTCCTAGCCCTGTCACATCAACTACACACAAGCAGACTTCATGGGACCTAGTCATGAGGCTAAATAGCCGTGTTATCCTGTTCATTTTGCAAGGCTTCTGCCTTACACTAGAAATGGAAAAGAGGACAACTGTGAATGCTGTGTCTTCTACCTGTGGAGTTGAAAATCTGAATACATGGTAAGTTGTACCTCTGCTACACTCCATTGAGCCTAGGTGAGGGCATCAGGAGTAGCAGATGGAAGAGATACATTTGTAAATTGCTAGCAGTATGACAGTGCTATGAGGTGCACCTCCATGCATACCACTCCCACAGATCTGTAGCTCATAAGTTTGATATCAGGTTCCACGGTGGACTAGACAAGAGCACCTCTGTCTCTTCTTGTCAAGGTCTCTGTCACCCTCACACTGAGCTTTTATCCTACTTTAAGTGGCAGTCTCAATGAAATTTTAACTAGGAAATCATTGTGTAACCCCCTCTTTCCTCCCCGGGTTACTCGGGATCAGGTCACACTCACAGATGTGCCTGGGCACCTGATGATCTTGACATAAAAGGAGATCCTGAGTACCCCAGTGGTGATGTTGTTTGGTTGGGGAAACCCTTTCCACCCCCTTGCTGCAGTCCCTTGCTCATAAAGAATGTACAATGGCGGTGCCTTCACCTTGCTGGCCCTATAACACACTTACTGGTGTGCCTTGGAAGCCTTCATGAATAAACTTATTCCAGCAATAAACTGGATCTAACTCCAGAACAACAATTACAAATCATAAATAATATACAACTAATAGATTGGATTGGAATGAACAACCTTTACTTAACTTAAAGAAATAGGCTTTAACAAATTAACAGTGAATAACATCAATTAACAAACTACACAGAAGTAAAAGGAACTTATTTAGCTGCCAATATTTATCCCACCCCAGAGTGTGCACACCCCTGGACTCAGAGTCCCAGACTCTTGCTTGTGTGGGTGTGCTTGAAGAACTGCAGCTGTAACGGAGATTATCTGTAGGTAGGGTGTATGTGGGTCCAAGCTATGCAGCAGCTCTGGTTCACTGGGTTGGCCTCTCTGCCTCTCTTTGAACCCAGAGTTAGTCTGTATCTCTGAGGTCTGTCCCAGGCAGCATTTCCCCAAAGATGCCCAGTTACAGTCTCCTTCTGTGTGCTGGATGCAGAGTAGCTTATAGACACAAGTACAGCCAAAGGGCCTCCCCACTAGGGCAATCAGAAGCAGCCTGCTAGATCCCAGTTTCAAAGCCTGCCACATAACAGCTCCCAAATTGGATCAAACTCCTCCACAGCAGCCTAGCTCCCTTTCTGCTCCAAAAACAGAGGGTTGAGTCCACAGACTGCTGAGTCTTCCTCCACACACGTGGAGAGACTCAGATCTCCTACACAAGAGTCACTTCCTTCCTGTTTTTCCCAAGGGCTCATGGGAATTGTAGTCTATGAGGCTGGATTGCAGCACACAGGGTCTTCCCAGAAAATAAGCAGAGGCACCTTTAGTAAGGGGACTACAATTGCAAACACCTCTGTAATGTATGCATTTTTTCTTTCTCATTTGGTTTCTGTTTTACAAAACAACAGTTCTCCAACTGAAAAAAGAAATCTACTGTAGCCATCAAAAATGAGAGATTCTCCACATGTTGTGGAAGACTTGCTTCTCTAATTGTACATATGTACTTACTTCACTGACATATCCTAAATCATCTGCTTTTTTTTAGACTCTGTAGATTCTGATGATAAGGGAGTCAAACAACTTCCTGGAAAACTAATAGACATGGCTTGCCAGGTGTGTGAAACCTACCTTGGGCAGATGGAACACGAGGACATTGACACAGCAATGGACTCTTCTGCAGTTCTTAGTGAGGAGGAATGGAAGGAATTAATTGAACAGTACTACTGTCTCATTCAGTAAGCTTTCAGAACTGCAATTAACTGGGTTGAATTAAAATCCTGGTTAAGGATTAGATCAAAGGTTCTCAAACTGTGGGTCAGGACCTCAAAGTGAGTTGCAACCCCATTTTAATGGGGTCACCAGGGCTGGCTTTGATTTGTTGAGGCTTGAAATTGAAGAATGAGCCCCACCACAGGGCTTCAGTCTTGGGTGGTGCTTCTCAGGTTACAGGCCCCCTTTCTGGGGATGAAGTCTTTGGCTCTGGCTTTGACCATGTGCAGGGTGGTGGGGCTTGGGCTTTGCTCCCCACCCCCACCCAGAGCAAGGAGGGTTGGGCAGGCTCAGGCTTTGGTACCTCCTCCTGGGGTCGCGTTGTCCTTTTTATTGTCAGAAGGGGGCACGGTGCAATGAAGCTTGAGTACCCCTAGGTTAGATTATAATTCTCTTACTCAGAATGAGCAACATTTTACTGCACAAGTAGCCTGGGTATAAGGAGTGTAAAATAATCCTCTTCACAAATAATGTATCAAATTTTGTTCCTGAATATAAACCCGGATTGGAAATGAACTTTTTATTCCAGTAAGAAATACAAGGCGTCTCTGCTATAAGTAGCCATGGTATACATCCATTCCACACAAGTCATTGATGCTGGTAGAAACTGATGCATTATACATCCTCCCATTCCTTGCTCTTAAGTTGTGCACACACACAAAAAAACATTTTGCGCAAATGGAAGTTATCCATGGGAAAAAAATTCCCCGCTTTAAGTTGTTTCGCTATAAGCCTAAGTTTTTTGGAATGTATCTTGGACTTATAGCGAGGACAGCCTTTACTGCAATATGTTGCATATATATAGTTCTCCTCATCAAAGGAACTCATAACACTATACAAATAGATCGGGTCAGATCCTCAGCTGCTGCAAATCAATGTATGCTTATTTTAATAGAATTCCTGAAATTAGCACGTGGAAGGTCTTTCATAGTGCATGGTTTAGCAGAGCACAGCAGTACTACATAACCGTTTAGGATAGAATGCTACTTATGTTTAATGTTGGAGAGGATTTATGTAGGTAGTGTGGAATTAAATGAGGTGCACTCTGGCCAGGACAATAGGGTTTTAACATGCCTGTTCTTGTGATGGGATTATTCTATGCAGATTTGTATGTGGCACTTATACCATAGTACTTGAACATCTTCCATAATATCTGTAGTGCAGTAAACTGTATGATTATGCATCTGTCATATGATGTTCTGTCATCCACTCCCAGATGGAAATGTGTGCACTGCAGAGTGTCTTGTTTTGATAGTGTCTGGGGTTTTCTAAAAAAAATAAAATTCCTAGTGCTATGTCTTCATATTAGAGAAGGCAAGACCAAATAAGTGTGTCTTTGATTTAGATCAGAAAGTGGGAAGGTTTTTGATAGTGCTTAATGCTTGAGGGAGTTCATACCACATCCTTGGTTAGTTCCCAGAGAAAGTTCTGTCTCCCACACAGACCGATTTTACTGTTGAGAATTCCATTGTTTCAGAGGAACATAGTTGTCTACCACAGTCTTCGTCTTGGAGTTATAAAGGTCTTTTAGATATCCTGGGCATTGAATAAGGTCTAAGACATTGAATTTAGATTCATTTTTCTATAGGAAGCCAGTGTAGGGAGCAGAGGACAGATTTGATATGTTCCTGATTGCCAGTGTTGCTGAGAAGAAATTTTGTTGCATTCTGTATTAGTTGAAGTTGCCTTCACTAGATGTTGTGTCCAGATACATTGCATTGCTGTAATCCAGCCAAGAGGTGATGAAGGGAGAATAACTGAGGCCAAGTTTTTGTCCACCAAAATGGGACTATGGTTCCCAACCAAGCAGAGAAGGTACAAAGTGTTACTAGTGGATGCTGTTCTGTGAGAATTCTGTGTTAGCAAGGGATCCAGGAGTACAGTCTGAATTGACCAATTGTGTATGTGAATATTCAGCCAATGGGAAATTAATTGACTGTAAGTAGGGATGTGATAGTGTATGCAGTTAACCTTCACGGTTACATGCAAGTCTCTCCCCCTCCCCCTGTACTCCTGTCTCTGTTCAGAAGCAGCAGCATGGGGATGGGGGAAGCAGGCGGGAACAAGTGCTTACAAGGAGACAGCTTTTAAGCAGGGTGCCCATACTCCTCAATTCGTGGGGAGCTGCCTGCCCCCTTGCACTGCTGCCTCTATACAAAAACCGGCTCCCCATGAGTACCAGCTCCCACTTGCTCCCCCGTGCTGCTGTCTTTTATACAGCAACAGCAGCATGCAGGGGGTGGGGGGAGAAGGGATGGGAGCAGTGGCTTAAAATCCTGATCCCCGGGTACATCAGCTTCCGCAGAGCCACCTCCCCCACCCCATTGCGTGTAAACATGTAATCACTGAAAATTTCATCTGTTACATGTTTACAAAATAAAACACTTTTTAACATTCCTAGCTGTAAGATCTTTATATCTAACAGAAAATTGGAAATCACTAAAAACGTGATAGATAATAAGACAAAAAATATCATATTGCCTCTATATAAATCCATGGTATGCCCACATCTTGAATATTGCATGCAGATATGGTTGCACCATCTTAGAAAAGATATATTGGAATTGAAAAATGTTCAGAAAAGGACAACAGAAATTATTAGGGGTATGGAATAGCTTCCTTATGTGGAGAGACTAATAAGATTGGGACTTTTCAGCAGCTAAGCAAGGATATGATACATAAAATCATGACTGGTTGTAACAAGCTTCAGGGGCTAGCCGAGTTAGTCGGTACAGGAAAACTGAAAAAACAAGAAATAGTCTGGTAGCACTTTATAGACTAACAAAACATGTAGATGGTATCATTTGCTAGTCTATAAAGTGCTACCAGACTATTTCTTGTTTTTTCAGGGTATGTCTACACTACCCCGCTAGTTCGAACTAGCGGGGGTAATGTAGTCATCTGCAGTTGCAAATGAAGCCCGGGATTTGAATTTCCCGGGCTTCATTTGCATGAAGCCGGCCGGCGCCATTTTTAAATGCCGGCTAGTTCGAACCCCGTGCGGCGCGGCTACACGCGGCACGGAGTAGCTAGTTCGGATTAGGCTTCATAGTTCATATGTTATCCTATTATTCCTATTGCAAGTTTTTATAAGCAGATTATTTTCTTAGTAATAGAATTTATGACTATGAATATAATCAACATGTCAGCCCATTGCCCATCTCTGGTTTTCTGATAGAAATGCTTTTGCTCTAAAGTGCAAATTTTCAATCTTTCTGGCACTAAGGTTCTAATTGACTTTGAAATAAATCTTAGGCTGACATTCAGAACATTCAAGGCGAGGAGAAGACACCACTGAAAAATAAATGAGTTCAATAACATGTAATACCTATTAATCCATAATATATTACTTTATATCACAACAGCAAGAAATCCTTCATACTGTACTTTAGAAAAACAAAACAGTATTGATAAGTGTATAAGCTAAGTTTATAAAATTCTTCTTCTAAAATAGATATGCATAAAGTATTACCTTTAATTCTTTTTATTTGTAGTGAAGGTGCTGTCATTTGTAGTGCACATAATTACATTATACAGTGTCAAAAGATTCTGAGCAAAATCATGTCTACAAACCCGCAGCAAGACATAGATGGTAACCACAATATCTGGATTATTAAACCAGGAGCAAAATCTCGTGGTAGAGGTAAGAGTTTCTTTTGTTTTTTAATTTAAAGTATTTATTATTATGCAAAGTTGTAGGGTATCATCTGGACAAGCAACATGTATATGTACTGCATACATCTGCAGTTCATCCCACTGGGCCATTCATAACTGCATACACATTGTGGGTACGTCTAGACTACATGGCTCCGTTGACGGAGCCATGTAGATTAGGTTTGTAGACATAGGAAAATGAAGTGGCTATTTAAATAATCGCCGCTTCATTTAAATTAAAATGGCTGCCGCACTGTGCCCATCAGCTGTTTGTCGGCTTAGCGCAGCAGTCTGGACGCTTCACGGTTGACATCAAAAGCCTTTGTCGACCACCCCAGTAAACCTCATCCCAAGAGGCATAACGGGGCGGTTGACAAAGGCTTTTGATGTCTACCGTGGAGAGTCCAGACTACCACGCTGAGCCTACAAACAGCTGATGGGCACAGCGCAACAGCAATTTTAATTTAAATGAAGCGGCGATTATTTAAATCGCCGCTTCATTTTCCTATGTCTACAAACCTAATCTACATGGCTCCGTTGACAGAGCCATGTAGTCTAGACGTACCCTTCCAGTAAAAGCCTTTCCTGTTTTCTATACAAGAGTTACTTTTACACAGCTTTCAGCATCTCACCTCTGTTACTTTGTGTATTTTGGGAAT